TTCTTGCTTTTCTGCATGCTGCTTTGCCTTCCGATCTGATGCTTGACGTCGCATAGAATTGCCTTGGCGGGCCGTAGGATCCCCGACTTGTGCCGTATTTTGAAATGCCTGACCAGCGCACATTCGAGCTGAAGTTCCTTGCCATTGTTCCGAATGTTTTGTTCTTTTGAAATGCAGCTCGCAGCCGTGATCAGCCATGAATAGGCATACAGAAGTCACCAAAAGCCCTGCGGAGGCGAGCCTTCTCCTCTGTACAGACGGAAAAAGAGCGGGTCAGTCGAAGAGCAGCACAAGCGATAACACCGCGATGAGCCACTGCAAGTTGGTGCGCTCAACCAACTCGCCCTCGTGCGGGCCGAGCGGCAGAGCGACGTGCTTTTTTAATTCCTCCAAGAGCGGCGTCTGGCATCCTGTGTACATCGCGGTGTGTTGCCGGACAGCGCTCCCTCTTCCACATCGGCCGCAGGAGAAAGACTGGGTCGGCGGTTTTCTAAAGGCGATCACATCGAGGCTGGCTGTCTGCGTTGCATTTCAGCGCTGCATCCGCGACAAGGTTAGGCTAACTGCGTTGAGATAATGCAACGCCTGAGCATCCGGTTTCGGAAATACTTCGCGCCTGACTGTTCCACCACGCACGCAAGTGCACTGAGATGCGTCTTCGCCGTTTACACCTAAGCCTAAGCCTTCTAAGCTTCCAAGAGGAGGAGCGCCGGAGGCTGCCGCGCATCATCGCGCATCCCAGACTGAGGAGATGGATTCTCCTTCACCAGCAGCCTGGTTTCTTGTCAGCGGTGGACGAGACTTTGGTTGGCGAAGCATTTGCGAAGCACCTGCAGATCGTGCATGAGCCTGTCATTGGGACAGCCTCGAGCTCCTCCTCTGTCGCATCCTGTTCTTGGAGTGATCTGCACGATCTCCGGCTTGTGAAGTAGAGTGCGTTGGCGTTCCTCGAGCTGCTCCTCCAGTCCTTTTTCAGCGTCAATCTGCCTCAGAGCTGGATCAGTGCTCATTCTCCGCCAATGTTACTTGAACCGAATTTCTCGTCCGAGTGACTGCTAAGACTACTATAAGTGCACGTGCACTTTGGCAGGGCATGATCGGCACGCGGCCTGCCCAGCCAACCACCGGTTTTTGCATGCCAAGGGTTTGAAAAGCATCGAACATGTCGCTGAAGCATGCTTTGAGCATGCTGAAGCCCGAACTTCCGACACCGGAGCCTGCGACTGAGTGTCGAATCTATTCCCACTTTCGGTTAGCGACATCCGAGAGATCCGACATGACTTTGATGCCCCCAGCCCTACAACGCGAGCAGGTGAAAAGCACCTCTGGAGATGGGGCATAAAGGTGCTTGCCGTAGTTGGCGGGCAGGCAGGTGAGTGTTCGTTCCAAGCACGCGCACACGACCTGACTGACTAAAAGACTAGGAGAGAAAGCAAGTTCTGTTTAATCCCGATTGGCTGTTCGGATTCAGTTCCCGAACTGCCCCAAGCTCGGAGCCTTCGTTCTGTGATCCTCAGGATTTGGTGCCAAATGCGATGTCCGGTCTAGCAGATGCTCATGCAGCTATTCGAGCAGCATGCATTTCAATCAACATGCATTTGGAGTCATGGCCGTGTCATCGGATCTTATTGCTGTCGTCTACATTGATACACTCTCGGTGCCTGAGGCAAGCAATTATCGTGTGCTCATGGTTATTGGGGCGTCGCAACAGTCGCATGTTTACTTTTCTCGTGCCTGGTGCTCTTATGAGTGGGCCAGAGCCCAAGCAAGGAAATCCATGATTCTTCTCGAAGATCTTTCGCTTGGGTTAAGCCGGTTAAGCTGCATGCCAAACTAGTTGCAGGCACTGTGCTTGGACTCCTCGACTCTCGCGGTGGACATTGCGGCTATGAATCAGGATTTTACCAGATTCGCAGTTCACCTAGGCTGCGATGAGCCCTAGAAGAAGCCTGCGAGAAGTCCTGCATAGGACGTGGAGATCATTACAAGTGGACTGACGACATCCGAAGTATGCTCCAATAAGTTCCAAGGCTGCAACTCCAGAACACGTTTCCGACATGCGGAATCTATTGGACTTGCCTTATGCGAAGTCTTTAAGGTACTATCCCGGCAGTGGGGTCAGTGCCAAAAACTCCCGAGAAGCAAGCTTCCCTTTGGAGGTGGTGAAGGCATCCGGCAGTGGAGCTGGGAAACGAGCCTAGGGTCAGAAAGTCGCGATATCTCGACGGAAGGAAGCCCTTGCCTTCAACTTGAACAAGACTCAGGCGAGCAGTGAAGCCACATGCCTGCTACTGATTCGGGACCGAGGGCGGAGATTGCATTCTCTTCAAATAGTTTGCTTGAGTTCACGGCACAGGCTGTTTGCAGGTCCGCATGGTCCAGTTTAGAAGACTTCGGCTTACATTCCTGCCAAAGCCGAGGTTGACCGACAGCGGCTGATGTGTGGATTCGTTGACATCGCACAGCCAGAGGAGGACGCGGATGGTGTGCAAAAGATGACAAGGCGGCGCTTGTCAGGTCCAGCTCCTTGCGAACGGGTCGAAAAGAGCTGAGCACAGGCGGCTGCGGAGCTTCCTGCTCCTCCTGCTTTGGCAGAACGTCCTCGTCCAAGCCAGCCGAGACAAGGACTACATGCCAGGCTCTGAGTAGTTGCCCTGGATTGAAGAGGCAAGCTCACGGCGTGTGTGATTCAAGGTGCGTACTTGGTGATGTGGCGAAAGCCATTCAAGGCTCGAGTTCCAGTTTAGTCACACCCTCTGTGTCAGTGCCTGAATCCATTCTGTCGTCTCGCCAGGAGACTGGTGGCGCAGGTCCTTGCGGTTGAGCCTGGCCGGATGTGACTTCTCCAGTGAAGACGTGCTGACAATGGGCATGCATCTTGACAAGTTGGCGTGATCCGTACCCGCCGTGCCGGATGCCTGATCAAAGGGGCACTTGCATTCGCCAGGCAGAGCCTGCCAAAAAGTCTCGAAATCCTGAAGCTGGATCTGCAGTGACGAGCTGAGTCAGACATGCCTTCGACAAAAAGCCCGGATTAGTGGAAACACCTGAAAAAAGTTGGCCTGGTCAAACTCGTTGAGGTTCACAGGTTTGGACGATGGCAGCCTGTCAACAGTGGCGCAACAGCTGCCGGAATGTCTTCAGAGTTTTACCCTGGACATTTCGGGGTGCCACGTCACCGACAAAGGCTTCGCTTGACGCTGTCTGAACCGTTGAAGCATGCCGCAGAAGAAGCCGGTCGCTGGCACGGAAGGCGTTCTGGCTTTCTTGAAGAAGCTGAATCCGGATCTCGCTGAAGTCACCATAAAGATGCAGCATACCACTGTGTCGAAAGGCGCGGTCCCCAATCAACAACGGCATGTTATGAACCGTGATGCTTGTCTCCGATTGAGGTCTGTTGGCATTGAGTAGGGACGGGCCAACCGCCTTGCAAAAGTGGGCTCTGCTCTCCCACCAAGAGCCTCTTGGTTTGCATGCATTTGACCGCTAGTTGAAGCGGATGCACCCTGGACATACAAGGCTGCCTTTGTGGCATCCCATCTTCCTCACCTTCTATTTCGCATCGTACATTTAACTGTCCATAAGTGTTTGAGCCGTTCGCCTGATGACTACGGATTGAATACGACTTCGCCGGGCATCAGGCAACCAAGTCATCTACCTTTAGGTGCAGCCGTATTCAGTAAGCGAACGGCTCGATATGTATATTGTACTCGACCATCATGAAAATGTAGGCAGATGACTATAAACCGACAAGGGAAGCGGGACATCCCCGTAGCACAAACATGAAAGGCGAGCCGAAGCATTGGCTGCTAAGCTGGAAATCATCGAGCGAAAGAAGGCCAGAGCAAGTGTGCGTGATCATGCACCGTCGAGTCTGAGTCTACGTTCCAGAGATCTAGACTACGATGCCTAATTCGTGCTGTACGTGTTGTGTCCGGCAAGAATCCATCTGTGGCTCCAACTCCGGCACACGAAGCTGGGCTGCAAGCTCTTCCATCTCACGAGCACATGTGCGACGGCATTTATGCCGCTCAGGTGCATAAGAAGGCCGCGCTCGAGAGTTTGTTGAACTTGGCTCCCTCCAAGATTTCCGCAGACGTTCTGGAACATGTGAAAGCAGATCTTGCTGCCTTGGAAAAAAGCATCGAGAAGGCTCCATAAGATGGAGGCGCCGAAGCTATTTAAGATCCTTGCAGGCACCGAAGGTGATTGCTGGATGTTTTTCCTCATAATTGTATCCGCACACGGGCCCCTGGCCCCTTACAAATCGCGGGGGTGCTGGCCCTTGCATTTTGAGTCAGGCATCCGCCAGCTCCTACAACTCTACAATCACTTGGAGCCATTTCCCCACGTCATGTGTGCTGATGGAACCATCCGACAAGAAATTTGCAGACATGGCATTTCTTTCATTGCACCTTGCAGACATCATCTATCACTAGCCTCGTGCCGAGTCCACCATGCCATCAGCAAGCCTGTCGCATTCATAGCCTGTACAATCGCGAGTTTTATTGCGATAACGACAGCGCCCAAACATTGGCACATCGCTTTGGTACACTGTTGGCCTGTAGGGTGGCGTTGTGAGCCAGGCTAATATGCCGATGCCAATCCAGCACGCATGACCGGTCAGTCTCGAGGCCGTCGAAGACCGTGGATGCCAGCAAGAAAGCAGTACAAGAGCCCAGCTGAAGGACGCTCGGATGGAACCCACTCAGGAAACAGTCTCATCGTGAGCAAGGGGATTCTTCCAGATGTGCATTCGTGGGTCCGGCCGTATCGGGCAGTAGAAGACTTTGACGGCCGCAACAATAATTTGTGCCATGGGTTGCACACATGCCGTTGCATGGCGGACGGCGTGGCACAACAGTGCGTTCGCTCCACTTTTAGGATGCTGAGTTGTGGCTGGCTACTGGCACCGCGTAAACAAGAGCGGAGTACCTGGAGCTCCGTGAGGAATGTCCATGGAAATGTCTCTGTGACTCTTTACGACACCCAGTGCTGAGGTTCTGGAGCGCCGACTTAGCGAGGAGCCCGGACCATGTGCACCCATGTCCGCCCTCCGCTGCCCAAGATTTCCAACGAGCCCCACCATGCAAGGTGTGGCAGAGGCTGCAAAGGGAGCTCACTTTTGCACATTGGCATTTGCAGGTGCCTCAATATCACCCTCTGGAAGCGTTGAAGTCTTGCTTCTAGCCCATGGCATTCGCCACAATTGCGCCTGCCTTGCTTTGTGCGTTATGTCTGGCCTGGTATAAGCAAAGCTGCCCAAGTGGGGGGTCTTTAGTGGGAGCTGCGTTTCGCTCCCTCGATACTGCTTTCTGGTCCATCGGGCTCGCCGCTCAGTGGCTTCGTGCAGTTTCAAGAGGCAAACACGGCCTGGAGTTCTGAAAAAGGATGGCATACAGCGAAGAGCGTTTGGGGACCGCCCAGTCATTGGCTGAGCGCCACGTTGACCGACCCAGTGGCTTCAGCCTTGGGCTCTAAGGTCCAATGCTTCGAGAATGTCGGAGTCGCGTCGGGCGGCGGCCCCAAAGCGTCAGTTCAAAGCAATTCATTGAAAGGCCCTGCAGACAGTTCGGACAAACGGCTCACGCAAAGCGGCGGAGCCGTGGCTCGACGGGTTTCAGCCACCTGCGAAGCTTCAACAATCTTGTTGGCGTAACCTCCATCCCTCTGCAGGGCCAGACACACAATCATGCTGTAGAGGGGGAATACTGTACAGCTACTGATTAGTTTGGCAAGGCGAAGCTCATGGACCTGAAGCGACGTGAGGAGCTCAAAGATGCACTCATCGAGAAGTTCAAGGCGATGCCATACAGTACTGGTAGCAGATGTGCCAAATCACAGAGCGGTGATGCAGATGCTTGCACAGGCTTTTGTTCTGCTGCCGTTTGCGTGGCATTGCTTGCGAACACATGCCCTCACGCGCCAGACTCGCTTCGGGCGTGGCTCCGTCCTGAAGGATGCGGACGAGATGTCAGTTTCTTCGGTGGCTGAGCTGAGCATGGAAATGCAGAGAAGCGAAGACGCCGTTCCTAGCGAGCCCAGGCAGCAATCAGGAACGAGGTCCGGGGCCTTGGAAGTTAAATTGTTGAGTCATGTCAAGTATTGTGAAATGCTGACGGGACGAAGCACAGGTGGATCGCTTTGCCAAGACGGCAGCAGTGACAGAAGCCAACCTTATGCGGCTGGAGAGGAGCATCGTTTTTCCAGCTGTGCTAGGAGCGGCCAGCTGCTCTAGCGTGGCATTCAGGCGCTTGCATGGCCGAGCTCAGAAGCGTGTCGCCGATGACAGCCAGTCTGTACGGGCCTTTCGTCAAGCTATGCAGTGAATGAGAGCGGATTCACCAACTGAATCAGTTCCCAATAGAGTCTGTAAAATCTACGAAATTGTGTCCCGGTGTCTGTGTCTTGCCAAGATGATCTCGGGAGTGTCTGCCTACACTGGCATGTCACGCTCTCGCAGCGCGACATCTCTGGCTGGTAGGCCGGAACCGGCCAACGGCAGCTGAATGTTTCTCTGCATTGAAAGAGTGCTGAGTTGATGAAATTACATCTCTGCAGCTGCAGGGAAATGGTGGGAGGCAAGCCCGAGCTGCCATCGTCATATGACTGGACCCGACTGGATGAATACGCGCAGCTTGCCTCTAACAACCCGAGTGTAACTTGAGCGGAAGCCGGCCTTTCTGCAAGGTCATACCTGCATGAACAAGATGCTTTACGCCAACAGCTGGGTGTGAAAGCACTGCAACGAAAAATGAGAATGGATCTTGATCAGCAGGCCGGGTGACATGAGGCCTCGGGGTCGGAGAGGTTGTCAATGTCTGTATGTGTGCGCTTGATTTGAAGGTGGCCGAGAAGACCAAGAAGAAGGTGGATGCGACGGAGGAGGAACGCCGATACCATGAGCCAGGATCTGAGACATTTCCGGAACAACCGCGTGGTATCTTAGTCAGATCCAGCAAACCAGCCTTTCCCGATTTGCCTTTCTACAGTGTCTGGAAAAGGACCCTTCTTTCCCTACGCTTCGTCATGTATGGCTCGAGTCATCGTGGAAAGTTCTCTGGGCTTGCACACGTCAAGGAAAATACATTCCCTTGCGTCCCTTGCAATGCCAAGACTGGTATGCCAGTCTCATCTTTCGTTGTAGTCATGCAGGGCAGAGCCTGGCAGAGCTCTCATGTAGCGAGGCTGCGTGAGAAATTGTGGTTTGAACTTGGCCTGAACGTAAGGAATTCTCTCATGGAGCTCGAGCGTTGGAAAGAGCAAGAGCAAATCCGGCAGGCGCGTGGGATGCTGCATACTGAGTCGAGCCACACGATGATGTGTCAAAAGATGTCATCCGCGAACCTAGCAGAGCAGGCATGTATCATCATGTATCTGAGCCGCGTCCACTGACACACCAGAATGTTCATCGGAGCCCAACCTACCTCTGTAGCTGCACGAACTCGGGACATGGACCCCGCCAAGAGGACGAGAAGCAGGAGCGTGTCATGAAGGCTCGTCAGCCAAGCTGAAGTTGGCTCTTTTGGTTCCAGTTAAGCGACGATGTGCTGTTGCCAGCAGGAGAAGTCCGACCGAGATGCGCAGCTGCAGTACGAGCCACGATCCTACGGGCGGCTGCGTTTTGCTTGCCTTTTGCGCCATGGCGACCTGAAGGCGCAAGTTGAAAGATGAGGAGATGCAAAAGAAGAAGGATGAAGAAGCGCAGCATCCCTGCAGATATGCCAACGAGTGGCTTGCGTGGCATGTTGGTGCGTCGTTTGTAGGGCGTTTCAAGGTCACTTGTTGAGAAGATCGTAAACGAGATGGAATCGGAGCAGCGGCGTGACCAGACGGCATTCACGAGATTTCACGAGAAGCAGCCGGCCTTGTCGTGTTCAATGATGCCACATCCGAAAGAACTACCCTGCAGGCTATGAGCGGAAGAAGGTTCGGATTGCTGAAACCGGCGCTGCCAGCAGGGTGCATGTGTAGTTTTGTGGCATGCTCCAGCTGTAGTTCACGCAGGAGCAGACTAAGAAGGCTATGCGAAAAGTATTCGAGGAGAACATGGAGGCTACTCAAGTGAGAAAGTTTGTGTCGGAGACGGTTCACAAACACTCACGTTCCGGAGCGCCCTGTCATCGTAGTATTGTAGGATCAGCGGAAGAGAGACAAAGTTAAGAAAGAAGCTATGGAGAAGGAGGCCACGGGAACTGCGGAACAGAATCCAGGATTGACTTGAGGTGACGGTAGGAATCAGGCTTAAGACTGCGACTACAACATTCTGTTTTACGGGTTTGTCGGGTACATTCATCGACACTCCCCAATGGCGGACACACTGCACAAAAACGCCTGTACACTGAAGAAGAAGAAGAAGTGGTTTGTCAGGCTGAGACAATCAAGGAATACAACCGGCTGCTGGATGAGCAAGAAGAACAGCGTGCACAGGAGTTGTCAGCACGCATGGAGCGCAGCGCCCCAAGACTGGAACCTGTTGATGACTCGCCTAGAATCGGGCGAATTCGTTCGATGTTGCTGGATCCAGCAGCCATGTACAGTGTGTGGGCAAGGGCAGACAGGGCCTGAAACCTAGTTTGGGGTATCGGCGCAATATCCCCCAATTTCCAAGGACAGGCAGACTTGATGAAGAAGTTGCTGGAGAATGTAGCACACGCCTCAGACAGCAGGGGTCCTTTGTTTAACGATGCGCAGTGGTGTCGCCGAGCGTACAAGGACACAGTAAAGAAGGGAGCCGGCGACAACGACGCGCAACGAGCAGCCCTACAGGCAGAAGAGCAAGACAGGCCATTTTCTATTGAGTTCGGCAGCGAGCTCTCGTGATTGCCTGACTACGGTTTCCGGAAGGCATTACTTCGAAGCAGAGTCCGTGAAGCAAAATCGCTTGCAGCAGTGCTGTGCTTGGAAACTAAACCGTGTCATCGCTTGGGGTACTCGGAATTTGTGCAGCCGGCAGCCTGCCAGCGCCCTGTCGAATCGGATTGAATCAGGATGCGATTTGAGAACCAAGCTTACCTTCTGAAGCAGATGGAGGAGAAGGACTCACGAAAGAACGAGGCCAGATCAGTTGGCAGTTACAGTTTTCCGCTTGCTGAGCACGGTCGTGCGTAGTAGCTCCGAAGCATCAGAAGCAAAACAACGTGCCAGGACAAGTATCTCCAACAGATTCAAGCACAGATCCTGGAGCGAGATGCAGAGGCCGTCTCGGGAGTATCACATCGACATAGTCAATTGAACACCAGTTGTCGCAGCAGTCACTTCGCTGAAGGAGTACAACGCCATCGAGAAGCAGAAGGTGGTCGATCGTCGCCTGCGGAATCTTGAGCATCGCAAGGCCGAGTCATTGGCAAAAGCCTGGACAACGAGAATTGAATCGAACACTGCGAGTATGCATCAGCACATCACCAACATGTTCCGTTTCACAGGACATTGAGCGACAGATAGAGTACAAAGCTCGCCAGTCTGTTCCAGAGATGAGTGGCCTCGACTGCACAATTCTTGACAGCACTAGAGCAAGGAAAGTAAGATGCTTGAGGAGATGTTTTTTGATTTTCGTTATGTGCATAAACGTACGACCGCTTGCTCGGTGCAAACTTGCTGAGGTGAAGCAGAGATTCAGCTGAACAGGCCTGCGTCCTGCAGTGTGGAAGCGCATGAAGGTAGCCGGAGGACACGGATTCCTGACAGGCCACTCCTACACCTGGTGGAACAGACGCTGCAGACTCGGGATGAGAATTTGAAGAAGGCGCAAGAGATGGCGCCAGCGCTCGATGAGGATGGGAGTGAAAGCATGCCACCGTCATGCGCTATAACAGCCCTGGGGTTGAACTAGTGATGTGAGGACCTGGATGGCGACATGTGATATATGAGTACTGCCATCCGCCTGTTCCACCATGGTCTTAGTGTTCGCAATACTCGACAATGAACAATCATTTGACTTGAGTGTTTACGCAGATGGGGGGGTGGCATGGCTTTGTACACTAGCTCCATCCGGAATCTAGAATCTCACGATGCCGATAATCGCGCATCGCATCTGCAGCAGCAAGGACCAAGTGCAAGTTGCCAGACCCATGGCCAATTGCAGGCTAATCGTTTCGTTCAAGCAGCAGTGGAACGATGGAGCACTTGTGCCAACTTGTGAAATGTCCATAGGAGCGAGCACAAGTGTTGCTGACCTATTGCTTTCACCCCGTTTCACTCACAATCCTTCCACCGGTTCGATGCGGAAGTTACGTACTGCGTGAAAGGCATCATTTTTTGGTCACCCGGTTTGGCAGCGTCTGTGTCGTGGACAATCGAGGAGCATGGAATTAATGTCCAGTGCAGTTTCACCACAGCGACCTGCGTTTGGCTACATATTTTTCTCCAAGGACAGCCTTGCATGAGTTAGTCGTGCCTTCTACACACTCTTCTGAGATCCATCTTGACAGAACGCAGCTCAAGCCAAGCTGTTGCCGACCTTCTCGCGAGAAGCATGCTCTGCCAGGGATGATTCACACTCTACTGGTTGTTGCTCATCTGTGCATGGCGAACATGCTAGCTCTCTTCAATCTCAGGATTCCAGTGTGCTGACAGAGTCCGAGCGGGCAGAGGCCGAAACCGACGCTTGGACTCGCCTCGTCGCTGAGTCCAGTGTGACAGGCTAAGGCCGGCCTCGCACGCTTGCTCGGGGCTTGGCCCTGACTGACATTTCTTCGTGAGGTCCTTTCTTTGAGCCCTTGAGCACTTAGGCTGGAGCGGCTTAGCTGGGACAGGCAGCGTTGGTCCACCGAGGCTGTGGCGGTTTGAGGGGAGGTAGAGGCCGCTACTCAGCTTGCGGCCATCCACCCCACATACTTGCAGAGCGCTTCGCATCGTCCGCCTCGGCCTGGCCGCAAGTGAAGAGCGCCGGATTTCTGCGGACTACGGGTTTCCAGACCTTGTGGAAAGGGAAAGAATGTCGTAGATGAACTTGGCAGGTTTAGCGAGGAATTTCAGCCGAGGGCAGATGTGGGGGAGGGCAGGGAAGGAGGTATTTTCAATGAGAAGAGGGGGGAAAGCGTTCGGGACGGGAAAGAGGGAACCTCGGGAACCTCTGACCGCTTCGGCCGAGGCCGGGGCAAATAAATTACTCCCTACATCCATCTGCAACAAGGCTCAGGGCCTTATTTCCAACTGGACCGAAGACATGTCAAAGATGCGCGTGACTGGAAACCTCCCCGTGATGCCTCGCGTAAGCTGCTCCCGTGAGCAAACCTGGCAGGACACCAAATTGGTAAAGGAGGCGCTTTGAGCTTCTTGGTAAATACGACACAGCATTGATATGTGAACGTTTGAGAAAAAAGCGCAGGTGGCAACCCTCCTTCGATCCGAATATCCGGAGCTGCTGCAGAGCAACTGGGTAAGAGACCTTGAAGCAACACATTCCTTTTGGAATTTGGAGCCCGCCGAGTCATGGTGTGCCGGCTTGCAGGTTCCACGATCCGCCAGAAGCTTAGAGTCCATGTTGGCGAAGTCCGGCGGAGCGCAGACACCCGTCGCCTGAGGTTGTGACAACGATTGATTTGATAAGATAGAGGCGGCAAGCATGCGCAAGCAAAATGATCAGCCTGTCGACTTGAGCTCGCGAGGAGTAATATTTTTGTTCGATACCGTTGGAAACCGCCTTCTTGCAGCATCGCATAACAAGTCAAAGGAGGGTGAGTGAGGTCAGGTTGGTGGCCGCAGGCCCACACCCAACTAAGGTAAAACGGGGGGGCCTGCTCTTTCGGAGGGTTTAGGGTTTCCCCAGGGAATAATGTAAAACGGGGGGGTCTGGAATCAGAGCTGGATATGTGCGATCTGCATGTCAATGTCCGCATATGTCCGCACTACAATCCGCAGACTTGGCAGCATGCACGGGGCTGGGGCCCGACAGTGCGGACATGCTAAGTGTGCACTAGATTCACGAAGAGCGACGCTTCTAGCCGACTTCGCAAACCACGAACAAGCAAAAAATCCGAGTGAAGAGCTTTGTTCATGTGCTTTGCTGTGCGAAGATGTCCATTCTGCCAACCTAGTCCGAAGGGTCCGTTTTGTTCCTAGTGACCCCCAAAGCAATACTGTAAAACGGGGGGGTCCCCCGAAGTAGTTAGGAAACAACTGGCCTCAACTCGTCTGACGTCCCGCGAACCGCTTATACATTATTTCCCTAGGGTACACCCTACATTTTCAACATTTCAAAATATTTTCACCATTTTTGACATCATACCCTCGCACGGTTTCCATCAAAAAAACATTAAAATTACAAAAAATATACTGTGACGTTTTTTGAATATATGGGGCCCCGGCCAGCCGCACTGGCCGCAGAGGTAGTATAAAATATTTGTTTAAATCCGTATATTTAAATCCCAGTATGACGTGATCTAGCCTTCAGTCTTAAAAAGGTGAAGGCTGGAATGCTGGAGGGTTGAAGGCTGGAAGGGGTTTAGGGCTTGAGGTTCCAGCCGTCCAGCCTTCCTCCAGTCCAGCCCTCCAGCCCTCCAGCCCTCCAGCCCTCCAGCCTTCCAGCCTTCCTTCCTGGAGGACTGGAGGAAGGCTGGAAGGCTGGAAGGCTGGAGGGCTGGAGGGCTGCTGAAGGCTGGGGCTGAAAGCTGGGGCTGAAGGCTGGAAGGTGGAGGGCTGGAAGGCTGGAGGGGTTGGAAAACTGGAAAACTGGCAGGCTGGAAGGTTGTTGGAAGGGTTGGAAGGCTGGAGGGTTGGGGAAGGCTGGAAGGCTGGAGGGCTGGGAAAACTGGAAGGCTGGAGGCTGGGACGCTGGATAGAGGGTGAGGGCTAAGGAAGGCTTGAAAACTGGCTGGAAGGCTCGAAGGTGGAAGGCTGGAGGCTGGAGGGACGGCGACGGCAAAGCTTGGGGCTGGAGGCTGGCTCGTTTTGGCTTGAACCTGAAGCTGAAAGGTTTGGGTTCTACCTGAACCCCTAAACCCTTAAACCCTAAAAACCTGCTGAACAACCCCCGCAAGCCGATCCACCGCAAGATCGACGTGATTACCTACCCGTTCAGCGCAGCAGGCGCGACACCCGCGGCGACGAAGACATGCTACCGGAACGCCGGTCAGAGACCGCTCCACCTAAAGCTCGACGTGAAGACCTTCTTGCCGACCTACCGACCACAGCTGGTGGAGGCCCCGACCAACCTGAGCTTGATCGTGTGGCGACACCCACTCCGGCAAGCAAGGGACGACAACAACGAGACCTTCTTCAACGGGGAGCTCTACCACCGGAACACCTACGAGGAAGCCAGGATCCTTCCCCCCCACACATGTGGTCGGACAGAGGACTGACAGCCGACTCCTCCCAACACCAGCAGAGGCGACACACAACCCCATCGGGGACGAGCAGATGCAGATAGCCGCCCACCGACACGACCGACTTCGAGACCTACCAGGACAGCGAGCTGCTCTCCCGGATCCATGAGCGTGGAGGACGTCGAGGACCCAGATGCAGAGGCTGAGAGACAGACGGAACGCTTCACGGCGGAGCACCAGGAGCAGGCAGCGAGCGAAGAATACCAAAGAATGGAGGACGCTGTGATGTCGGAGTCCGGAGGCTTCACCGCCCGCCGACCATGCGTCCGAGTGTCAGCTTCACAAGCCGGATGGGGCCCTACACCAGACATTTTGCCCTGGACCTGAAGCCGAACCTGCCGTGGACGATGGAGATCACGCCGAACTTGGGGCAGCTCTCAGGCCAGTGGTATTACCAAGGACAACCGGTGGCGGACAACGACCTGCCACCTCACCTTCGCAGCTCGCCGCCCTCAGGAAGTACAGACGCGCCAGGGGCTACCCAGTAACCAGGAGGGCACGTACGACATGAATGATCCCTGGGTCCTGGGAGTCTACAAGCTGTGGCAGAAGGGACTGTATTCCGACGAGAAGGTCAGACGGGTCAATGTGGTCCCGAGCTCCCGTGCAGCAAATGATGGCAGACGCAGAGCCAGTGGCGGTACACTGATGTCGAGCGACAAGGACGACTGACCGCGTAGATCCTAAGCGCGGCCCGGCCTCGCCTGCAATTACATGCGTAGGACAGTAGGAGGTGAATGATGCCCTCAGTGCAGGCCGGATCGCAGTCATGCTTGTATGCTCTCTTTTTGAGTCGGCACCTGATCGCATAGTGTAACTTCTGAATGCTGTAGTAACTCAGCCTCTGATTCTTTGCAGTCTCTCAGCTGGTGTGCCTGCCACATGATCAGATCAGAAGCCACCGACCGTGACGGACTGCGATGGGCCTCTTCTATGGGGGCGGGGTTCTGTTGATGATGTCGTACTGTTGAGCAAGTAGGGATCTCCTTGCAAGCCGAGTGCCAACGGTCCACGGTCCTAATTTGTAGCTGTGTGTTGCAAGCCTGAAGGACACTCGTCCAATGTTCCCTGTGTCATAGTTTGGGTATTCAGCCTTGATCATAATCTGTGGATTCTTCGGGTGTCTTTCCAACTGGCTCCACCTACCAGGCATTCCGACTGTAGCAGGAAGGAAAAGGGCCTTCAAAAAAAAAACACCAAAATTGTAAACCCAAACCTACCAATGATCTGCCAACTTCCTGATATTTTGTTTCGAGGCGGGCCCGGGCGATGTTTCACGAAGGTAGTGTAATATACCTGTTTAACCTATTTCAATATCCGTGTATTTAGAAAGTAATATAGACTTTCAAAATTCAATTTTTCAATTAATTTAATAACTTGTATTTTTTGTTTTATAAATTTTTTGTTTTATAAATTTTACATTATTTTTCAAGCAATGAAAAAAATACGTATTTATCATCTATATATGATATATTAGAATTCTTTTTCATTAAAAAATTAATATCTCTTCTTACCTTTTTAATATTATAAATATTTTCATTCTATATTCAAGATATAAATTATTAATTCTTTTTCAAATATTCTTTATATTGATTTTTATCTATCATATATATAATGATATATATTTTATTCTTTCAAATTTTTAAAATCTTTATTTCTTATTTATAGAGTATTTCAATTAGTTTCTCTTGAATCGATTTCTTATTTAAATAATATTATATATTCTAATTTTTAAGAATGTTGGAAAATAATAAAGATTATTTATTTATTGAAATATTATTGAATCTATTTATATTTTATATAAATATATATATTTTATAACTATATAAATCTGAGGGGTCTTATAAAATAATAATACTTTTCATATCTTTATTATCACCAGATCTTATCTAATTATTATAAATATTTCTATTAATTCTGAAGTTTCTAGTTGCGAACGGACTGCGATGCCTTGTCAAGTTCTAAGGTGTCACTATAAGAGCTGTGAGCAAGACGGTGTAAAGTGCAAGAGAAGGGGGCACGCTACGCGTCCCTCGACTCTAGGGGGCATGCTACGCATCCCTCGTCTTTACCTTTCTATGTGACCGCCAACGCAACGTTTGGCTCAAGTCAATGCCCATAGCTAAGTGCTATATGTGTCTTCTATCCTGAGCAATCAGAGCTATCCCGTTGCACAGACGAACCGCCGCCGGCAGTGAGTGCAAAAGGAACGGCCGCCGGTTCTGCCTGCATAGGATCGCACGTGTGGAAGTAAGAGGGAGAGACAGGGTCCAGTCTGTGGAGAGTGCTAGCCAGCCACACCTACATTCATTACAGCTCTGGTGGGGAGAGCAGCAACCAAGTCGAGATCAATCCCCCACGCAGGTTATCAGCCGTACGCGGCTCTGCCTTTCTACAGCAACGACTACTTGATCTACTACGACCACAATGAACTCAGGATCAAGCCAAGATACGACAATGACTTTCGGTGCCGATGTGGCAGCGCCAGCCGTTGGTGAGTCAACAGCTGATGACACAGTGGTGCAATCCGTTGATAGCTCCACGGAAGATGACAAAGGTCAATCTTCTGCGCTTGCCATTGCAAAGGCAGTTCCCAAGGGGAAAGCAAAGAGTCTACCAAGAGCATCTACGCCTTCACGTCCGACATCCACAGGTTCGAGGACGGGCAAGGCTTCAGAACGACGGGCCGAAGCGTCTGGTTTTCAGGCACCTCGGACTACGTCCAGGGCTAAGGACAAAGGAGTCAAGACCTTGGAGAAGAAGTCAAGACCATCATCTTCGAGAAGCTCTTCAGCACGATCGAGGACTTCGGCTACCCGTGGGCGTGACAAGTCCATGACTTGGAATCGGATGGTTACCAATCAACCACGCGATTCTGACGATCTGGACATGACTCTGGATACGATTCCTGCACGTGGTGATGCGTCATCCGTGGCCACGCCTGCAATAGCTGACGGTCCGAATGCCTACCAGGAATTGACGATTTCGCAACAGTTCGAAGCATCGAACCTTGCACAGCAGATGTACTATCGCAGTCAGGTGCAAGAATACGAAGGAATCGTCCAGACCCTGATGGACAAGATCAAGGAGATGCAGCAAGAAGATGAAGGATCTGGAATTCGCATTGAAGAATTGGAACGACAACGTGATCATGCATGCTTAGCCATGAGGCACATCAACAATGTCAATCAGGAGATGAAGCGAGACTATGAAACAGCTTTGTTTCGCAT